CATGCCTGCGCTCCTGGAGCGCCCCAAGCTTTCCAACGCCATGGCCAGGGCGTTGCACCGGCACATCATGATGGAGCGGGAGCGCAAGCGGCAGGGTGAGCCGGGGCCAAGGCGGGAGGGCACACACCCGTGGACACGCTGTTCCAGGCCCCACCCTCGGGCCGATCAGTGCGGCGGCGGCAGAAGCTAGGAGGGGGGTGGAACAGCCCGGTGGTGGTGGGAGTTCAAGTCGCCAGGGCTGACCTGCAGAATTCCTCAGCCGGGAAGGACCTTGGAGAGCACCTAGTGAACCTTACCTCTCCGTCCCCCTGCAGTGATCGGAAGCCTCTTATCGATAGCACTGGGATAACCATTTTTGCTGGCTTCAGTCTCTAACATTCTAATGAACCATTCTGCCACTTTCCCTGTGTGACCTTCCTCCAGAGGAAGAAGAAGTAGACAAGATGATGGAACAGAAGATGAAGGAAGAGCAGGAGAGACGAAAGAAAAAGGAGATGGAAGAGAGAATGTCCTTAGAGGAAACCAAAGAACAGGTATGTGCAGTCCATCTTTCCCAGATGGACTTTCTTCCCTTGGCTCTCCTACCTTCTTTCCACTCCCTTTTTCCAGATCCTGAAGCTGCAAGAGAAGCTTTTGGCCCTTCAGGAGGAGAAGCACCAGCTTTTCCTGCAGCTCAAGAAAGTTTTACATGAGGAAGAAAAACGGAGGCGAAAAGAGCAGAGGTGGGATTGGAGCTAAAATTAAAATTGGGCAAAACATATAGATGGAGGCAGGTAACAAAAGATCGGTGTTTGTGGCAAGAGGACACTTGTCCTTGATGTTTGACCTGCCTTCCTTTCCCTCTAGTGACTTAACCACTCTGACATCAGCCGCATACCCACAGAGCCTGACTGTTCACACGGGAACTCATCTCCTCAGCATGCAGGGTGAGGGTTACAGAAACCACCTGTCAATGAGCCCTCCTGGGTCTTGTAGACTGCACTTCAGCGTCATGAAGCCCCTCTCCCTCTCTAGGGAGCCCTGGAGGACACAATCGCCCAGGCACCCTCATGGCAGCTGACAGAGCCAAACAGATGTTCGGACCCCAAGTGCTTACAGTAAGAGTCAAATTGGTGTTTCCTCTACTACTTCCACCCACCTTGCTAAACCACTATTCAAGCAATGAGTGTGACACTGACATGTATGGAGAAAAATGGGAGCACACACAGTCAATCGAGATTCTGCTTTCAAGTTTACAGTGAGTTCTCATCCTTCTTAGACCCGGCATTATGTGGGCTCTGCAGCTTTCACAGGGACCCCAGAGCACGGGCAATTCCAAGGCAGCCCAGGTGGTGCCTATGGGACTGCTCAGCCCCCACCTCACTATGGACCCGCTCAACCGGCCTATAGCCCTAGTCAGCAGCTCAGAGGTGAGTGGTGGGAAAAGAGGGGAGGGGGTACTTTCGAGGCCCAAAGGGTTAGAGTGCTGTGAACAGACTAAAGGGAGGTTCTAATGGCTGTGCTTCCTATCTTTTTCAGCACCTTCAGCCTTTCCTGCAGTGCAATACTTGTCTCAGCCACAGCCACAGCCCTATGCTGTGCACAGCCACTTCCAGCCCACCCAGACAGGTGATAACACCCCATTCAGGGGCCCTGGTTCCACAGGTTCTCCCTTTCCCGTTCTCTACTTGCTTCACACACCCTTCTTTCCCACATAGGGTTCCTACAGCCTGGTGGTGCCCTGTCTCTACAAAAGCAAATGGAACATGCTAACCAGCAAACTGGCTTCTCTGACTCAGTGAGTGTGGAGCTTGGGGAGATCAGGGGAAGGGCTTTGCTATGGGGAACCCCAGGCTGCTGCGGGTTCTGACTCTGTTCTCTGCAGTCCTCCCTGCGCCCCATGCACCCCCAAGCTCTGCATCCAGCCCCTGGACTCCTCGCCTCCCCCCAGCTCCCTGTGCAGATGCAACCAGCAGGGAAGGTAAGGGTGATAATCATACCTGTCATAGTCTCTGCAGTACCATGGCAAACAGGATTGGGTAGGACAGGCCCACACCCATGGCTTTCCCTTCCTCCTTGGGGGTGGTTATATGGGTGTGGACCAGAAGGGAGAACATGTGCACTGACAAACCCCCCCTTTCATCACCACCAGTCCAGCTTTGCTGCTACTAGCCAACCTGGCCCCCGGCTCCCATTCCTCCAACACAGCCAGAACCCAAGATTCTATCACAAGTGACCATCAAATTTCATCTTCAACCTCACCCCACCCCCTACCTTGAGTGAGAGTCCCTGATATGTCCTAGGCCAATAAAATCTATCTGCCATTGCCCCTGGCTACTACTGTTTGTGTTCACCCCCACCTGGACTAGGCCAGGGCTGCTTAAAGGGTGGGGGATAGGTAACAGGTCCATGGCAAGTTAGTGTTCCCAGACTGGGGACAGTGGGTTGATTGTAATGAACTCATTGTCACAGTCTAATCTATAATCTATTTTTGGTTCCCAAGTTTTCCCTTCTAGTTAGCAAGTACCCATTTATTCAGAGTAGCCAAGTTGGGGCTTCATATTAAACTTGTAGTTTTATTCAGGTTTGATTTTAACAAATGTGTCAGGGTGAGAGCCCACAGGAAAGGGTGAAGCCCGTGGGGGCAGGGCCCTCCCAGATGCCTGAGGAGGGGGGCAGGTCCCCTTTCCTCTCCTCCTCTTCCCTCTCCTGCTAAAGGGATTTGGGGAGAGACATAGGCATGGGGAAGGAGCTGGTCCCCAGTCTGTGGGGGTGGTGCTTGGGGTAAAGGGCTATAGGAACAGGGACCAGACCAGGGATGAGTGGGGGGGAGGGCACACGGACCATTTGCCAGAATCCACGGTAAAGGGCTATAGGAACAGGGACCAGACCAGGGATGGGGGGGAGGGGGAGGAAGGGCACACGGACCATTTGTCAGAATCCACAGCTGATTCCAGAATTTAAAAAAACAAACAAAAAAAACAAACCACAAGCCGCACCCACCCCATCTCCCCCACAAGGGCTGTAGTGTGAGGGGAGAAGAGGAAGGCAGCTTCACCAAGGCCATGGCTCACTCACTCCTGGCCAAGGGAGCAGGGTGAAGGGCAGGGGCTCCCCAACAGATTGAGGGGGTGGAGGAAACCAAAATAAAACATCAAATAAATTGTGTAGGAGTCCAGCCAAGGGCCGGGGCCAGAGCTGAGCCAGGCTGGGGGAGGGGGCCTCTGCAGGCTCGAGGATCACTGCGCCACCACCGCCACCCTGCGTACAAAAGAGAAACCAGGTAAGACAGGATAATACCTTTAACAGGAGGAAGGCTTAGGGGTCAGAAAGCTTAGAACAATTAAGACTAAAGCATCCACAAAGTATGTGAAGGGGACTTGAGGGGAGTTTGTCACACTCACCTGGGAGCCAGTTATTTTGCCATGGCCTTGATTGCAACAGCTGCCTCCTCCGTCATGGCAGACAGCACTGTAATCTTCGGGGAGCAAAAGGGAGAATCAGAAGTCTGAGCTCAGGGACCAAGCACAAGGAGCAAAGCTGGGCACAAAAGAAAGTGGGTGGGGCACTATACCAGGATCTCCTCTCCACAGTCGTACTTCTGCTCAATTTCCTTGCCAAGGTCTCCCTCAGGCAGACGAAGGTCCTCTCGCACCTCCCCGCTGTCCTGGAGCAGTGATAGATACCCATCCTGGATGCCAATCAGCTGGGGGAAAAGAGGGAAGGAAGCTGAAGGTTGAGGAGACAGGGTCTGACATATCAAATACCCTCTCCTCCCAGCACAAGCTCTTCTGATCAATCAGTTTCTGCGCCCCCACCCCAACTGACTAACCCTACAGCAAGACCATCCACATACCTGGAAATCATTCCTTTTGATGTTGGGAACATCCATATTATGAGTTGACGGGCAGATATCTTCATATTTCTTCCCAGTAAAGATGTCAATACCAACCAGGTGGACCTGTATGTATGCATCACATCAAAGAGAAACCCAACTAAACTTCAGGATGGAGGAGATAAAAGTTTAAGTTGTCCCTGCTGGTGAGGGAAGTCAGACTAGATTGGGCAAAGATTAGGGGAATTGGTAATGTGCCATAAATTCAAGAAATACTAAAACTTCCAAAAGGAACCTGAGGGGAAAAGACCACCATGGAGACTAGATTGACAGCACAAGGGAAAATGTAGGCCAGCTTTGGAGTAGTCAGTTACCTCAAGCTATCAAATCATTGGTAAATAAAAGGCTAAAAACTTGGAAAATAAGAAAGGTAGAAGGGAAAGAGCTGAGAATACAGGAAGGACTGAGGAAGAGAGCTGAAAAGAAAAAATTACTTGGGGGAAATCAGAAAGAACAAAGCAATTAGGAAATAAGAAAAACATGAAATAGAAGAATCTAGGACATCAGGGGGTAACCCAGGATTAATGCCAAGTCAACAGAAGACAGGATTGAACTTTTGAGGAAAAAATAAAAGGAAAGCACTGGGCAAGAATGTTAGGACCCAATGGGCAAGGAGGCTCTATTAACTCAAGGAGAGGGGGCAGCTACCCTGGCCCCCTTCAGGGAAGGCTACATTTCATTAGGATTGAAGAAACCCTGGGCAAAGTGATAGGAATAAAGAGCACCTACAGAGATTCAAGGAAAGAAAGACCAACAGAAAAAGTGAAAGCCATGAATAAGGATGGAGCAGCTAAATAGCCAGAGCATAAAGGACCACCAAGAGAAGTTAGAGATCCACATAGAGATAGAGCGAGTTATCAGAGAATGATGGTGGAAGAGGCTCAAGGCTGGTAGCAAGTGTAGAAAGAACAGTATCGGGGCTGAGTGTTGAACACAATTGGATAATAAATAGGAAAAGAGTAAATAGAAGGCTAGGACTACTGATAGCTTGCTGCCAGGAGCCACATGGGCAGGGAAATGTGGGGAAAGCAAGATGTGAAGAGGTGGAATTCTAACCTTGGCATGGCCGTGCTTGCCAGTCTTGGAGGTGGACATCTCCACAATCTTACATGGCCGTCCTTTGAGCACCACAAAGCCATTCTTACGTAATGCTGAGCACTGCATTGGGAAGGTGGCTGAGGCCCCTGCATCTCCTGTCTCGAAGTCCAAATCATCTGCCATTTTAAGAGGCTTCGATTCCAACTAGTCAAGAAAAAAACTGGGGTCAGCAAGGATGGAGGCTAACAGTGTCTCCAATTTATCCCACTCCTCTCTAGAAACTGCTTCATTTTCATTCCAGATGTTTATTCCATTACCCACTTAAAATAAAATAAAAATTCCTAGATTAAATACTGATTGGAATCACAAATACTCAAGAACTCATGTGTGTACGTTGGGGAGAATAAGCTGGATCCCCACCCCAACTGAAAGTTAAAGGGGACTTGGGAAAAGAAGTTTGGGGGCATTAGGATGTCAAATCTGAGATGGGCAAAGACCTAATCCCTGGGGAGGGGGAGGACTCAGGTGTTACTTGCCACTGAAACCAACTACCCCTTTAGCCCACACATAACCAGGGCTATAATTAGGTGAGCAGCTATGAGCCAGCCAAAGGGCGGGGCTAATGCGGAGGGGAGAAGGGAGGGTGGATACCGGCGGGCAGGGCCCCACCCGTCTCTGTTACACCCCCCCCACCCTATCCACACACAAGCTAGTCATTGGTACAGGAAACCACAAGGGCTCTTTGGGGGATTCCCGCCTCTCCAACAGGCATTTGTCGATGCAGCCAAGGGGGAGAAAGTAAAGTTGTTTTCTAACCGATCCCCCTGCCAAACACCTCAATCTTGTTTCCCAAAGGGAACCCAGGAACCCAGCGTCTCCTCGAGGGCCCTCCCACTTTTCCCAAGATGCTTCGGTCCTGTCGGCTTTTCAGATGGGGCCTGTAAGTCAGTAGAAAGTGAGGGAGTGGGGAGTGGTGAATGACAATAAAACGAAAGCAAAAGACTGGTAGTAATTAGTAGTATAACTTATACTAGGTTAGTAGAATTAAGACTCTAAAGCCAGAACTCCCAAAACACACATCGAGGGAGACAGTGACAAGGCTCTGAGCACCTCTAACAGCGGGGAACTCATCGGCCCGGACTTTAAGGCGCTGTCAGCACCACCGAGTTGGGCTCCCGTCCAATCGCCCTCGTTTTCTCCATTTCTCTGACTTCCTAGCAAGGACCAGTGTCACTTACACCTGGCTGGCCCCCCTCACTTCACCTGAGGTTTGGGGGAGCGCTCCCGGGGCCCATGAGGTGGGAGCGCGCTAACATATGCCCGCAGTGGGCGCTCTCGGTGATCGCGGTCCGGGCCTCCGGCTTCTCCCACTCCTCCGATTCCCAAGCGCCCTTAGGCGCCCACGAGGACCCGCTCTCCCCGCGCGGAGGGTTGCCGACTCCCGCCCATGTGGCCGCCCGGGGCTTCCGGT